TCTCGTATTTAGAAAAAAAAATATATATATATATATATATATAATGAATTAATTTGGCTTTAAGGGTTATTATTATTATTATTATTATCATTATTTATTTATTAAATTTTTAATTAATTAATTTAAAAAAAAAAAAACTTTTTACCAAGGTCGCAAAGGATTAATTTTTTTACCGGGAAATAAAATTTAAGAATCGAAACATTTTTTTTTTATTCCCTTTCCTCCCACCCCCCACCCCCCACTTAATTTTATGTATGGAACCCCTCAATAAATATATAAATTCTTATAGTTTATTATATAAAGAAAAATTTTCCACGGTTGAAAATTTATTGTTGATATTGAATATATAAACGTATTTTTCCGTTAACGACTTTTAATTATTATTAATAATTTTTTTTTTTTTTTTTTAAATAAAAAGGATACAGGAAAACTTTAAGAGAGTACGGATATATACGGGGAGGGGGAGGGGTTGGAAGAAGAAGAAGAAGAAAATTCTAAACGATCCAAACTGAGTCATCCACGGTTTGATTCATCATTGATGATTATTTACCTTGACTTTCAAACTTAAAAACTTACTTTCAAACTCCGGGTTCCATAATATTACATTAAGTAGGCCCCACCTCCCCACCCCACCCTCCCCCTAACTATAAAGTCAAAGAATATTCTGGTAAATTTTATTTTTAATTGCCAAAAAAAAAATTTTTGATAAAAGCGCCAACTCCTGTTACAACAACAACAACTACTTTATATAAAAAAAAAGTTATGATGGGGGGGGGGTGAAGGGGGGAAAGAAAAAGACTTTATAATAATAATAATAATAATCGATTTTTTTTTTTTTGTGTCAAACTCACGTGTTTGACTTTGAAATAAATAAAACGTGATATTAAAACCAAAAGTGTGTGAGTACTTTTTTTATTTTTTTTTTGCACTCACCAAGGTTAAAATACCAGTTGTGTCGCCGTATTATTTTTTTTTAATATTTATTTCAAATGTTTTAATAAAAAATTTGCATTCGACTGGTATTAATAATGTCTAATGGCAAGGACAAATACCAATATTATTTTATTTAAAACTCAGGTGGTAGCCGTTTAAAATAAATAAATTATTTATTAAAAAAGTAAATTTCAAACCGTAATAAATGATAATATTGATATTAAAGGAAGGTATATATATTTCCCTCGAGCAAATTTTTTTTTTTTTTATAACAAAAACCTCTCTACGAATTATTATTATTATTATTATTATTAATTCGAATCCCCTTGTATTATTATTATGTAATCGTGCTAAGTTTTTTTTTTTTAAATTTTCTTCCGCCTTTTTACAAAGAGTTTAAAAAAAAAAAAAAAAAAGATTATTCACATTTAATAATAATAAGTCTCACGCTAAACGGAGATTCCCCTTCCCTTCCCCCCCCCATTCCCCCCACACCCCCCTCCACCCGACCTTGTTTTCATAAACGTTCAGGAAGTCTATCTAGATAAAAAAATTTTTTTAATGTTATTAAACCCCCCTCCCCACTCTCTTAGGGGGCTCGAGGAATTCTTTTTTTTTACAATAAAATTCTTCAACAATTAATTTTATAAATAAATATTATTATTATTATTATTTTATTAAAATGGCTGGTCAAACTTCATTAAATTCAAATTATATTCCAAGAAGTAAAAAAATTTTTTTTTGTTTAATAAAATTATTAAAATATTATTAATTAATATCACACCCAGAATAATAATAATAATAATAATAATAATAATAATAATAATAATAATAATAATTAATATTTTTTTATGGTAAATTTCGGGTGTTCGACAGACAATAACTAGAAAAAAAAAAAAAAACAAGTTTTTAGGGTTTCACTCTTTCCAAGGATAAAAATTAAAATGGCTGACATATTTAATCAATTTTTTTTTTTTAAATATAGAACGGAGAATATGAAAATACTTTTATTGTAAGCCATTTAAGGAAGAATAATAAGTTATAAAAAAAATTTATGCTGCATTACCAAGACAAATTATCCGGTTATTAAAAAAGGCTTAATATTTAAATTATGACAGTAGTAATAATAATAATAATAATTTATTATTTAAAAGTATCCAACAAGAATTTAATCATTTTATTTATTTATTTTATACTTGATAAAAAGTATAGACTTTAAAAACTTATAATAATAATCATTTTTTTTAAAAAATTGAGCAATGAAAGTATAAAAGAGGGCAATGAGAAGGTAAAGTCACGAGGGTCAATACCAAAAATTAAGCTCCTTCCACCATCCAAATCAAAAAAAAAAAAAAAAAAGAAAAAAAAAGAAAAAAACCTTGGCAATTTAAATCTCGAATATTTCTAAGATTTGAAACAATGGACAACTTTTGAGAGGCCTTCGAAAACGTGAATGCCTCACGAGTTCCTGTTTTAGGGCACCGTAGGCTTCGAATACGGCCTTAACCACCGATCAAAAATACATTTGAGTTACTTTTTCAATTTATTAGAACAATATTAATAAAATTTCAACTCGAAAAAAAAATAGGAGAGGGGATATTTCGATATATACAATGACTTGCCTCTTATTATTATATATTATTAATGACCTTTTATGCTTTATTTAATACGAATAGGTAGAAATTTAGACGTTATGCAACTTGCTTACAATAACCATTATTGTAATTTTAATATAATTGTTCTTAAAAATATATATACTTTACTTTACTCTACTCCTCTACCCCGATGAAATGTCTTTCTCTTTCGGAAACCGATGGTACCGTTCCAGGTTTTGAATGCTTCCTACGATTATCCTCCCTTTAAATAGAATAAAAAAAAATTTTTAATTCACAGTATGCCTTAATAACAAAACATAAAAAGATTTTTACATCATTAAAATCAATGGAGGAAAACCTGATAAAATAAAAAAAAGGATACCACCTGGGATTTTAACTTACTTTCTTAAAATCTTTTCGTTGGCCATTTTCAATTGTCGTCTAGCATTATAAATATATTTGGGAACGTGACGGTGACGTTTAATTCTAGAAATCTGCGGGTGAGCGGCATATTTAGCTTTAAGTGCTTCGTTATAATTTAATGCTAATTTTTCTCTGGGCCTTAATATTCCCAGTTTTTCCGATGCTCGCGCTTTCCATATTCTTATATTCATTTCATCCGAACCGGATATTATATACTTGTCATCTAATGTCCATTGTACCGTTGATAACCTTTGCATTCTTTTAGTGTGATAAATTTCTCTAGATGAACTCTATTAACAGACAAATCAATAAAAATTATTACATCCTGACAGAGTTAAAAAAGAAAAAAAAAAGTTTTTGAAAATGATTGAATATTACCTTATTAACATTAAATATTCTAATCGATTTATCATATCCTCCACTGACAAATTCTTTACCAGTAGGAGAATAGTCGACAAACATTACAGCAGATACATGATCCTTATGAACATGAATAGGAGTCGAATATTGTCTGATGTCAAAAGTGTACAGACTAAAAAATTAAAAATTAAAATTATAATTTAAAATTATTTCAACAATTTTTCCACTTTAATCATGTACTTACTTGTAATCTTCAGATGCTCCTGTAAAAACAAATGCTTCCATAGGATTCCAGCAAATTTTATTAATTCTGAGTTTCATTTTGATTTTTCGAACAGGGCCTGTCGCTCTGGAGTCGTAAAGTATGACGCTTCTATCACTGGCACAAGTGGCTGTAAAGAAATAATAAATTAGATTAATCAGTTTTTACACAGATGTGCAACACAAAATTTTTGTACATTTAATATTATTTAAATACCTAATAGATATGATTCTATTGGATTGTATGAAACATCATGTAAACTGTCTACACCCCATTTAAATGTTTGAATCGGCTCACTTCTTGTTTCTTCCCAAATTTGACAAATTTCTCCGCATGTGGCGTAGAGAGGTTCAGTTTGATGGTGACTGATTGCATTTAACACAGACTAAAATATTTTTAAGCAAATTAATTCCTTTTTTTTTTTGTGATCAACATTTAAACCTGATTGATTATATTTCTTATACATTATAATTTTATTTTTAATTTGAAAAGAATTGTCAAACAAACCATACCTTAGAAACCATTGTGTCTGTAGGTTCAATAAAATTTTCATTTGAAATTTCTGTTTCCCATATTTTAATATTTTTATCTCCAATCGTTATAAAATGTTCTCCATCCGGCAAAAATGTACAACCCCTAATACAACTATCATGGGCTTGAATGGTTTGTAAACATTTTTTAGAACTTAAATCCCATAATTTTACCTAAAATGCACAAATAACATCCATGTTTTAAATAACAATCTTATTTACTTTACCATCTTATCGATAAGTACACTTACTTCGCCATCATATGCTCCACTTAAAATGTAAGAAAGTTTTTTTGGGTGTTTCGAAATGCAAGTAACTCCTTCTTTGTGCCCATCTAAATTACCGACAAATGGCTTAGCAAATACTTTTTCAAGTTTTACAGCATTTAAAGCTTTCACATATTCTCTTTGAACTTCAAAAGGATGTAAACTGGGATCAAAATTTCTTGGTACTACAATTAAAAATTTACAATAATATTAAATGAATGGATTCATTCTAAATATCGCTTTTGAATTGGTTTTTTAAAAAAAAATTTTTTTTGTATAAATACACTGCTGATTATGTATATTACATTTCCTGTATATTAATATATGTATTCAAGTAATAAATGGATAATAAAGCATTAAAATTTTTAATTTCTTTAATAAAAAAAGCGTTTTTTTTACCTTCAACTTCTCAATTGGAAAAATTTGAGGTTAAGAGTGATTTTTAACACATTTTACATTTTTACTTTTTCTTATATAATTTTTAATAAAAAATGCTTTAAAAAATTATTTTAAAGTATGTCTTCTTAAGAACAATTTATATTAAAACTAACAACCTTTCATTAGGAAAAAAATAAAGTTAATATTTTGTATACTTGTATGAACCATCATGTGAGCATACTGTTTTCTAATTGTTTTTTAAATTAAATTATTCAAAAGATTATTGTGATAGTTTTGCTATACCTTTATGAATATCTTTTATAGTTTCCCTCAGATAAACATCTGGGTTCCTTGTTAACATTTTAACCTTCATTTTTCACATAAAATTGTTTACTCTTCATTTAAACAGAAAGAAACGTTTAAATTACTTGGTACGTGCAACAAGACTAACTCGAAATAATGGCGGCGGTTAATTTTGTACAATACTTGGTACTATGTTGAATATATTTAATAAATTAAATTTAAGAAATAATGGCTGTAACGGTTACAAATGTTTAATAAAAAAAATTTGCGAATCTACGGATAATATTCAACAATTTTGCTTTGATAGCAATGAAGGTAAACATGTTTTTTTTTTGAATATAGTATTTATTTTTATTAACCCTATCTCGTACTTTTTTTTTTTTTTAGAGATTTTGGAAAATTTTATAAATAATATATATTTAATTAGTATAAATTTACCGTCTAGGAAAAATCGTTTAACTGCAAGTGCATTAGAAAAACTTGATCACTGCTTAAAAAACTTTGATACGAAAAATAATTTATCGGTAGCTGTTTTGCACGGATGTGGCGGGAATTTTTGTACTGGAATTGAATCTAGTCAAGAAGCTAATGAAAATGGTTTACAGTTAATAAAGGTAAAGTTTTATCATTGGGTAACTTTGTAATTGTGACAATGATTAATTTATTGATAAAGTACTTAAATCTTTCTCTTAATTTCATTCCTTGACATTACATTTTTTAGACATTAAATAATTTAAAAAAGCCAATAATTGGATCACTTCATGGTAACATTAAAGAATTCGGTTTTCAACTTGCAGTTATGTGTGATTTAACTGCAATAGATGAAACTGCATTTATAGGAATTGGAAGTAATCGAAATAGGCATGTTATGCCAGATATTATTTATAGAAAACTTTGTTCTTCCATTGGGCTTACCAGAGCAATGGAGATTACATTGCCGAATTTCACATTAAATGCAAAAGATGCTTGTCAAATCGGTTTGGTCACTAAAATTTCTGAATGTGGTACTGGTAGGAATATTTTTTTATCCTTTAATTATTTTCACATTTTTTACTGAACAATTTTTATGTGTTATGTATATATATATTATCTTAAATCAATTTTAAATTTTAATTATATAAAAAAAATTTATTTCTTGTACATTTCAGCTTTTGGACAAGGAATTGTATGGGCTCAAAGTATTGCTCTAGCACCAATGGAATTAATGATTAAAGAAAAAGCAAATCTATTACATCATTTAAAAAGTTAAAAAAAAACTATTTATAATTATATGTTTAATATTATTAATAAAGTCACATAATATCTACAATTAATAGAAAATTTCAGTTATTTGTTAAAATAATAAGTAAACTTACGATAGAAATACCAACATTTGAAAATTATAATTTTTTTAGGGGGAAAAAAAACTTTTAGGTACTTTTTTTTTTTGTTGCTGTTGGTAATATAAATAATGAAGAGTAACGAACGTCTTATCTTTTTTCTTTTAATGACTTATCAGGTTTACATAATAAATATATTGTAGTCAAATTTTTACTTATGTTATGAAGTACTAACACACCTCTTTAGTCAAAATTATTTTATTTTTTTTACGCATAGTAATGGTAATAAAAGTTATAACATAAAAAAATTACTGTTCTTTTCTTTTAACGTTGTTGATTTCAAATGATATTTCATCATTATCAAAATTTTTAATTGATTTATCTTGTAAATTATCATCTCCTGTTCTCTTTAAAAATCTTTTCTAAAAAAAAAAAAAAAAAAACTTTTTATATTAGTTATGATAAATCAGTGAAATTTAAAAAATTATTATCTTTTAACGGTTTTTTTTTTGAGATTCATCGTTACCGTTCGCGTTAATGATGATGATGATATTTTTAATATACGAAATATATCTTTTTATCTTAAAATATAAACTTCCGGTTTTAAAATGTTTATCAACTCACCCTTTCTTTAGCTATGTATGCTTGAGCGTAAAAGTTTCCAAAAAGAACAATAAATGAAATCATGTAAATAACCAATACGTATTGCATCCATAATGGAAATTCACATCCCGAACGGATTCCATTAATCCCGAGAATCAATGCTGTTGTAAACTGAATCTAAAAATGGAAAAGAAAATTTTTCTGTTGTAATGAAACTTTTTTATAAGTTGATGCAAAAGAAATTTAAAAACTTACCAATTGCAATATGGTTAAATATTTTTTCCACCATAAAAATTTTGATACTCCAGGACCCAAAGCTGATATACCGTAATAAGTATACATTAGAACGTGTATGCAACTGTTGACCATGGCCGGTAGAAATGCTGGAAATGGTAAAAAATTTTAATACGATCAAGTATTAAAAAAAAATTTATTAAGTAAAAATCCCTTACTCGAACCGCTGGGTACCCATTTGATACCGATCCACCATAGTGAAAACATTGTCGAATGATGATACACGTGTAAAAAAGTCAACTGTTTTTCTTTTTTTCTTAAAATGAAAAAAAACGTGTCGCAAAATTCTAATAATTTAGAAAAATAATACCACCAAACGGCATTTGCAATCTGTGCAAACAAAATCAATATAATCGTATAAAAATTTTTTTCCCATCGGATTTTCTTTTAAAAAAAAAAAAAAAATACTCACCCTCAATTCTTCTGTATGATTTATATATGTGAGGGGTTGACACACGTAGCTGTATCTTAATCTCGTACTCGCAATAAATAATTCGACAGCAATGTAACCGTTTAATAAAGCCATAAATAAATTATACGGCATTAGCAGCCATGTTAATTTTAACGGTTTTTTATTTTTCATTATTTTAGGACCTGCCCAAACGATCGATAAATAAATTAATGTGTATACCAATGTCGGTACGGGTGAATCAACTAATGGCCATCCTTTGCTACGTTTGTCTGTAATTAAAATAATTTATTTATCACGATGATAATAATGATGATACATAAAAATTATTAAATTTTATTATTAAAATTACCTGCCAGTGACATGGTCCAAAGATAATAACCATAAGCATCCGACAAAATTGCTTGTGTTGAATTTATTATTTTCATTTTTAATTTGATTTTTTTTAAAATTATTATTATTATTATTAAACCTAAATTTAAATATATATATATAAATAATTATTAACAATAAAAGAATGTTTATTTATTTATTTATTTATTTATTATTATCATTATTAAAATAAAAAATAAAAAAAATCAACTTTTATTAAAAACCTTTTTTTTATTATTTTTAATCAAATAAAAATTATTATTATTATTATTATTAGTAATTATTTAATTAAATTAAATTAAAATTTATTGTTTTGACGTTGCCGCGTTTTATAAAATTAATTAATTAAATTAAAATTATTTTATTAATTTCCGGTTATTTAATATTTTTATTATTATTAATAAATAAATAAATTTAAAATAAAAAAAATATTTACCTTATTATATAAGAATATTAATTAAATTTCACTTTAAATTTTTTTTTTTTTTTTTTTTTTTATAAATTAAAAAATTAAATAAAAAAAAAACATAATGATAATAATAATAATAATAAAACAAAACAATACAATAATTTTTTTAAAAATATTTTTTACACCTTCAAACAACCAAACAATTTGACATCACTTTTTTTTTTTGTTTTTCTTGCATCAACAAATTTGAATGAGTGAATGACAAAATAAAAATAAAAACCTGATGTTTTCAGGTATTCCGAATCGAAATACGTTTTCCCTACTACCACTAC